TTTTTTGCCCCACTGTATGTGAAATGGCTTAAAGCAATGATCATTTATAGCATTCCTAACAGAGTTGTTTAGCTTCTCAGTTGCATCCAGATAGTGAATCTTGAATCAAGTTCAGATCATGAATCCCTGCTATGGACATTTACTTCTAAGTTATCTCCTGCTTTTCAATTAGCTTTTTATTATTTTAATGGAGGTTCCTCCCTCCCACAGCCTTTGGGAGTGGGAGTTATTCACATAATTGCCCATATTTTATGTAAATGGAATGGTTACGCCATAAAACGATAGACAAATGTGTCTCCCACACAAAGTCCAATAACGAGACTGAATAAACCCATTATTTACAATAAGCAGCATCTGAAAAAAGCCTGGGAAACATGGTCCTGACAGATGTAGGCCCATAACAAAGCTTGGATAAAGGGGGATGACGAGGGCCTCCGAGAGACCCCCGTTAATTGACTTTTAAAATAACTCCTTTTTTCACAGTTCTACTTGGCTGAGCAGGATTCACAAATTGCTGTCTTGAACTTTTTAATGGGACAAAATAGCTGCCAATGAAAGTCTAAATGACACGGACAAAGAATGGGAGCCCGGCAGTGACCACACCAGGACATCCTTTTAACTGACATCCTGATTATTTGAGAAGGAACAGCTACTCCATTGAACCCAGAAGGGAGATGAAGGGCTAGGGGTGGTAAGGGAGGAAACAGCAGAGAAACCTGCTGGATGATTTTGAAAGACAAGGATGGTTACCAAATAGGCAGAAACCACCTTTTAAAAACAGATTCCTAATGTTAAGTTTGAACACTTCAATATAATTTGGCGGGAGATTTTTGCTTCCAAGCACAGTGTTTATCGGAAAGCCTCATTCAGTTTTCAGAGATTTTACTCTCAGGTGTATATGCTTGGAATTAAAACTTTAGCTCCTATACTGCTGTAACTTGTTTATTTTCACGTGCACTTCACTGGGTTCCATTAAACTTCCTTCCAACTAAATATATTTAGGAACATCTGTTTCATTCATGGAAATCTTTCTACACAGAAGCAACAGGTCTGAGTTTTGCACAAACACCACTCCATGATTAACTATTATAAACAACCTTTATTAATTTTAATTTAACAAGTATCGATCGATTGCAAGACCAGGCAAAGAGATTCATCACATTATTTTTTTTATAGTTAAGAGACAACAGGCTGATTCTTAATTAAGTAAGGTTAAGACTTCAACAGAAATCATAACAGCTTCACTATTTGGGCATTCTGAGACCACCATTTCTTAAAGTAGACCACAGAGCAGTTTTTTCTTACAATTCAAAGTAAAAGCACAGACAAGCTGTGTCACAGATTTGCATACATTACTGTCAAGATACAGTAACACACTGAAGCATATAGCATTTTGAACAACTTTTCTGCAAAGGTCCAATAGAAACCATTTTCCAACAGTTTCATTAATGCCAAAACTGCTTAGGGCACATCTTCTATACTTTTGAAAAGCTTGGCAGAAAATATTAAGCTACGTGCTAGATCATAACAAGGGTTCGTGATGCAGCAGTGCAAATATGTCCACTGGAGATAGAGAGCCAAAACCACACAATTTCAAAGTGAAAGCATGAGATTTGGCTCTCTTTTGCTGAAACCAGGAGAAGGTAGTATGCTTCACTATGCTTCAGTCATGCCCACTGACATGATCCCATTGGCTGACTTGCCATGAGATAAAACAATGCTATTTGGGGCTGATCTGAAAGAAGCCTGGTTTGTAGTGTAAGAAACAAGGCCTAAGGATCACCTTTTCGCCAATGGACAATATCCTGCCTGGATAAACATTTAAAAATACATAATTAGAGAAAATAAACTATGTAGAGAGATTCTCAAGGAATCCCAGAGATATTTCAAAATCATTAGGTGATTCCAATATGATCATTAAGATTTCTGTACTAATTACAGTCACCCACTGTAACCATGGCCTAAAGGCATTTGAATACCACCAAAGCCACCACGGTGAATACTATCCACGGCACACCACATGGTATTTGGATAACAGAGGCTGGATACATGCCGCCTTATGATTTGTGGATTTTTTAAAAAATTAGGAATATGTGTCTGAATCTAAGTGATGATTTGTTGAAAGAATGCTTCACTGAAACTTCCCTTGGGAGCATACAGTCTCAAAAACAATTCAGCACAAAAGCCAGGAAGTCTCATCAGAATGTATTTTGAAAAAAGCTCTTCATGAAGAGGAACATTGACTATGCAAGGCCCATAATAGAGGAGTGATCTTAGTATCCCTGAAAGAAGTAGGTTACATTGCACAAGAAACCACAGGTTCTCCATCCCAACCTTTCTCATCTTCATATAGCCATGATCTCAGTACAGAGGGATGGTGGTGACGGTTGTTTTTTTTATGTAACTTTTCTGTTTCCTATTTCTACCTCATACCTTGCAGTTTCAACTTAACCTTTCAACACACTGCTTTCCAATATTACCTAAAGAATGGGTAATACATATTTTATTTTTTGCAGTGGTCCATTACATTTCAGTAACTTCCAGAGCTTCCCTAATGGCTCCATAATTTGAGTCTTAAACATTTCTCAGTCAATTATAATAAGGCATACTTAGAAAGCAAATTCTCCCTGTAGCGTCCTGAGACTGGGTCCTTTATTGGATCATAAACCTACAACTGAATCAGACTGCTACAGTCAGGCTGCCCTCTTATATCAAAATATGTTCTGCAGAAATCTAGATTTGCCAAGACTGTAGTTCATTTTATCTCTATCATATGGGTGCTTCCTTCTACTTTTTAGCACAAGAACTTCTTAAAGCTGACAGCTCCATAAGCCACTACATTTGGGTCATGAATTCTTCTAATTCCAAGACAAAACCTCTAGTTTGCTGTTCCTTTTTAATGAGAAAACATAGCAAAGTACTCCTCAATGGTTTAGATGTGCAATCCTCATAACCATGTGCCATTAGGTGCCCTCTCCTGCATGAAAATTACCAAGAAGCTTAAAACCAGTTGCCCAAAACCATTAGCTTCCAATTTCTGTGAATCTTCCCAGTCTACTGTTCATCTTTTAAAAAGAAAACAGAAGACATACTGAAGTTGAAAGGCCAGCTGGGAAGAAGAGCTCAAAGACAGAAATGAAAGATGGCACACTGATTGGTTTTTCACACCTACTGAAAGTCCTTTAAGTGATCTTCCACACTTGGTTCTACAGCCAAATGCGATCAAAGACTATGCTTAGAAAACAGCATGCAGGAAATCAGAGTAATCTCATTACCTCCAACAGTGGCAAGCAGAACAAAGGCTACAAGATTAGGTGGAAATATTATACTTCATTCTCCACTAGAACATCACAGTGAAGATGTGTAGGTAGCTCTTCAAGGAGCAGGAACAGGAACCTTGTCCTCTCAGACAACCATAATTACAGAACAATGTTCAACATGGATTGGTTGGTTAAGCGGATGATGGTGATTTTTTTAAACCACTCTCTTTTGGCATGCATGGCCAAGGATATTCATGGCTTGACTTGCATGCAGGACACTGCCAAAACTATTGGACAACTATTGAGGAATAGCTCTAGCTTGAGTACATTTAATTCTGAGGAACTAAGCTGAGCCAAGAGAGATTTATCAGATGGCACAAAATGCCCTTTCCTACGTCTTCAGAGCATCTGAAAAGAGGGTAGGGAGGAAAAGAAACCCATGGAACATGGTCTTTAAAAGAAGCTCCAGAAATGAAAGTGCTGCCTTTTATTGTCCCTTTTCCTCCCAGCAGCACTACCAAAGTACCACTTTTCTTCTTTTCACGGTGCTTGATTGAAGAATCAAAAAGATTCACCATCTCCAAGCCTTGTTTTCAGTCATCTAAAAACAAGATCCTTGGAGTTCACTGTTCATACAGCCAAACGTGGTATGCAAGTCAGAGAACACCCCTGGAGTATTCACCCCATGGGAAGTGAAAAATGCCCATCCCAAAGAGAAGCTGATCAAACTGTGAACAGTGCAGCCTATGCAGAAGTGACAACCAGGTCACTGAAAATCCATGGAATTTGTGCTCTGCATTTCTTACTACATAGTAGAGTATGAGACAAAAGCAAAGGGAGCTTCTGCTCCAAGAAGACCTCACACATCCATATTCTACTATGGCTTAGACCTCAGAGGTATGAGGCACACCACAGACCTGATTAATTCAGTTCACTAAGAACCCTCTAGACAAGTTTCCCCAGTGAAAGTTTGCCAAGGACCTTTGTTAGCGGACTGAAATATTGGTCAAGTAACCCCAGAACTTCCCAAAAAGCAAGCACAGAGCTTAAAACTATACATCTCTTACAGACTTAATTCAACAAGAAAGCTTGTGGAAAAGCATCATAATAGTGTGTGGGTGCATGTTTTCATGAGGGTGCCAAAGCCATTCTGCTCAGCCAGCATTACTTCAGTTGGCAGAGTGAAATGGTGGCCCCACTAGAAAACACCCAGAATGCAGAATAGACAGCTTCTGTGAATTCTGCTTTGAATTTATAGAGCAGGATGTTTTTCTCAGTGATCCCAAAGAAAATAACAAACCCCCCTTCATAATTTAGAAGGACACCAATCTTCTTTGCTTTGTTGTTGGGTAGACACTTCTCTTTATCATTGTGCCAAGCTGAGATCTTGTCGTTGATCCACTCAATGCACCAGGAACTGTTATTGCGTCCTAGGCGGCTTTCCGGCCCATTTCTTGGGATGCTCCCGTAGCAGATGCCGATAGCGCAGAAGTTGTTGCTCTCCAGCTCAACTTCCCAGTAATGGATTCCCTTCTTGAAACACTGGAAGGAAAGCACTTGGGAGCAACTTGTAAAGCGCTGAGGGTGAGGTTTGTAATCCTGTACTGTTTCTGAGACAGACATCTTGGTGTTTCTCTGTGATAAGACGACATTCTTATGAGCAGTGTTGAAATCCAGAGTAAATTTTGCAGCAACTAGGAATAAATACAATCAGGAGAGAATTCAGAAAACAGCAAGAAAATTGGAAAAGAGAGGGCAGCAAGAAAGAAAGGGGCAGCTGTACTGGTTTTTTTTTTTCCTTCTTATAAGCAGTAGGTTCCTTTTTTCTAAAACATATCACCCCACCCCCCAAGCCAATTAGAAAAGAGGTGCAACTGAGGCCAAAATGCCACCATCCTGGCAAAGACATTTCATCCAAGATGCTAAAGGGCAGCATGTTAGAACTGGACATTCCCAAATATGTTATGCTCCTACCCCAGTCATAAAGGGTCATCACCATTTTTCTTCTTTCACTGATCATCAGACATAGTCCCATCTACGCAGCTCCAGTCTGAACATCATTTCTCAGTAAAAGCACAGAAGAATCCAAGGTCTACCCAGATCACCAGAGTGTTCCTCCAAGTGGTTAATCAAATACTTATAGAAAGCCCTCAAGACACGAGTTGCCAATAGTACCCTTCCTGGTCAGCATATAATCGTCATGAGCACCAGCCGCAGATATAATTTACCTACTCTATGAAAAAATACTTGCTATTACTTGTCTCAAAGGATTTCAGAATTTTACATTTTGCAAAAGGGGGAAGAAAAAAAAACCCCTTTTTCTTTACACCATATATGCTTCCACCATCTAAGAAATCAAACTAAAAGGCATTGAACATCATCACCTTCCCTTATAAAGGAATTTCTTCGATCCTGCTATAATTTCAGTTGCTCTGTTTGTTCCACATTTACTGTTCTACAAAATCCACCATGGTGCAGTTGTCAGAACCCTACACAGCCTTCCAGGTTCAGCAGCATGTAAAAGTGGAACATCCCTTAACTACATCTGCCACCATATGATACTTTCACCAAATTATAGTAAAATTCTTTTGGACTCCTTTGAAATCCGTTCATGTATTCATCCTAAATAACTTAATGACATCAGAAACATTTTCCTGTTCACCTCTAACTCCAGAACATTTACGAACAAGATAAAAAGCAATGATCTTGAGAACATACCTTCATTTGTTCATTTACTCTTATTGTATTTCTCATGCTTTGGTAAGTTATGGATCCATAAGAAGACCTATCCTCTAATATCATAATCACTACAGTTCCAAAGCAATGACATTTAAAAAGACCAATCAGCAATGATCTCTACTCAATGCTATCTACATATGTTGACATTCAATGAACCTTTTAAATATTAGAAGAAAGGAGTTATTACTATTTCTTCTGAAAAATCCATGCTTATTCTTTTTCAACAGAGCCTTACTGTTTTATATAAGGAATGGGCCAGTTTTTAACACGTCAGAAACATACTTTGGCTATGGGAGCATGACTTGTGAGGTCATAACAGTGTGCTAATTTTGGAGGGTGCTTCTTGAGCTTACTGGACTTAAAAGGTGAAATGGATGCCTGAACCTTCTGCTTGACCTTTAACCTCTCCTGGTGAAAGCTTTGGAGCAACCCACTATGCAGCAAGAGCCACTGTAGGGCTAGAGGTTGATAGTTTTATATGCTCTATTTTATATGCTTGATAGTTCTATTTTAATAAAGTTTTCTCAGAATGAAAGTTAATCATAATTATTAATACTACTGATCCATCATTCCCCAAATTTACACCAAACTAGTTACTTACATTCCAGAAGCTCCTCTCTTGGTTTTGTTAAAAAAGCATCAAGTGTTGTCGTTTGATTCTTTGTCTCACCTCTGTTGCAACTTTGTCCTCTCCGGCTAGGACTCTGTGCTATAGTTAGCAGACAAGGCCAAAAGACACACAATTAAAAACTCATGAAAACACACTACATATATTACACTGAATGAGAAGACCATTCTGTCAAGTTTTATACGTCTCTTCAAGACAGGCAAAATCTTGTATTAGCTATTTAGAGATACAGTCTTAGTTTATGCATTCCATATGTGGTTTACTTATATGGGATTTAGTCCAGTGGGTAAACCCATCAGCAAACCAGGGGCAGCCCTAGACTTATCTTCCAGAGGGCTCTGTTTAGAAATAGAAACCATTCCACCAGTTGATACGGCAGCAGAGGACAAACAGGAGGACAGATGATTCTAAACCAGCAACTGAATATAATCTACGTTCAGGTGAGAAGCTCCAGGTCCTTTCAGATCTGATGGTCAACAGCGTTTCAGGAGTGGGATCACTCTCCCTTCTGCTTCTGTTGCCTCTGCAGACCTTCATGGCCACAGAGCTGAGGAAGGGTATCTTGCATTCACCCATCAGACAATCCAAGATTGCCAAGAGCTGGCAGTAGTCAACAGCATCAGTCTTATGAGATGACAAGACTCTAGCTTTATGGATTATGGAAATGATGGATTTCTAGAGCCTAGAAGAATCTTGTCAAGGGAGAGCAGAGGTAGGGCTGCAACAATCATCATTACAAGCCAGAACTATATATAGTTTATGTAAGCTTCTGAGAATTTTGTAATGAAAAGTAGTAAACTTTTGCCTATTGCTCATGACAACACTGCTAATGTCCCCTTCTAACAAAAATGTTTTTTAGTTTCTTTGAACCTACTTCTTAGCTCCAACACTCCCCTTGCAGGCTTGCAGTAACCATACAGGGTTATTAACTATTCTGTTTCAGCATTAATTTCATGAGATCTCTTGCCCTGGGGAATGAAAGAGAGTGAGGGGGGAGAGACTAGAAAAATATAGTATCTTCCCTAGAAACTGGGAGATCCTTTACAATAAAGCAATATCTTAGCATCTGTAAAGAACAGATGCTGAGAGATTTACGCCAAGGCTGCCACTGAATATTTGAGATTTTAGGAATGCCTGGGCAACCATTAATCCTTTATGCATTTAGAGTGGTGTTTTGGAATGCACCATATTAGTGATAATTGAGAACCCAAATATAGCAGGCTAAAATTTGCCATCAAAAATGTATGGAATGCGCGGACACAACTGAAAAGGTAGAGCTGGCAAACTAACGCCCCTACGCATGAATCTAATTGTGCAAAGAAAAAAACATCAGCATAGGGCGAAAACCACAGATGCAATTTCTCACGACCAGACCACAGCACAATTACTTTTGCTCCATGCCAACAAACATATCCACGGATGCCCTGCTGAACTTCCTGAAATTTCAGCAGTGGCAGCTGTTCCTCAGATTTTAATCAGTGGAGTTTACTGGTGGGCAGAAAGTTACAAGATTGGTTACAAGACTGAACTTACAGCGTTTGCCAGGCCGGTTTCTCTGTTCTGAAAAGAAAAGGAAATGCCCGATTTAATTATCTGAGAACAAGAGAAACAGCCCACTCAGAATATGCAAGCAAAAGATCATCTGTTACTAAGATTTAGTGAAGTTAAAGAAAGTGGTACCCCTTTAACGTGATGACCCCAATAATTTGTTTCAGTTATGTGGAGATGATCATTTCCACACCAGTAAATTTACTTAAATTTCAACATGATTATCCAAAAAATCAAATAACTATAATCAGTTGGGTACTTGGAATGCATAGAAACTAGAAAGCAGGGATACAACAGTAAGCTTAAGACACTCAGAAAAACAGAGAGGCCAGAGTCAAATCAAAAGTCAGTCCAAGAGATTATGCGATAAGAAAAAAAAAAGCTTTTTTGTAAAATAAAGAGGTTTAGACTATCTTTAGTCATACCAGTGTCACATGCACCATTCCCTGTGAACAGTAAGAAGAATACCAGTCAGTTTTGGCACATTTGCCACAAGTGCAAGCAAAGTCCAGTTTTATTCCAAGCACACCTTTAGTTTTCTATGCAAGCTAGGATCTCTCATCTTGAGACTACCTTGCGAGCCAAGACAACTGTTGCCTCTATCCCACCAACTCTGGATTCCCACAGAATGAACAAAAATTTGACGTAAAAAGGAGTGAAATGAATTATATTAGAGAGTGTGGAGTTATGTTAACAGGAAGTATGAAAAAAGATAAAGTGAAAAAACCTATGAGATGAGAACAATGTGTATTAGAGAAGAATAGCTGCAAAACATGAACAGAGAAAAAAAGGATTCTTGCAAAAATACGATCAGCAACAGAAAGGAAGATTAAGACAGGGAGGAAAACTGCTGAACAAGCTTGATATAGGTACAGTAAACTGTTTTGGAAATAGATGAAAAGGACTAAAATGGAGCCTCCCCCAGAGTGAATGGAATTAAAAGTAAATGTGATGAAATGACTTGGGATGAAACTAAAGTGAGGAAATCCTGAAGAGATCTGTATACAGCAATATGTCAACGAAAGATACTGAAATGTATCTACAGTGGGGCAAAAAAGTATTTAGTCATCCACCAATTATGCATGTTCTCCCACTTAAAAAGATGAGAGGCGCCTGTAATTTTCATCATAGGTATACCTC